GTTACAATTATAGCAGTGGGATAGCCACAACAGCTGGGTGGAAGCTATCAGGCCATTGTTAATTATGTGTAAAAGTTAAGAGTAAGCAATCAAAAGAAAAAAAAGCAGAGAAAGTCTGTTTTTCTGTACATTTCCACAAGACGTAACTCTACTTTTATAAGGAACAATCAACATTTCTGAGCCTTTTGAGCATCCACAATTAATTTAAATGAACAGCAAAACAGCGTAGCCAAACAGCCATACTAAAGGCATGATCTGCATTTATATTTGGCTATACTGGTAAAGCCAACTTCTGCAGCCCCTCCTGTCCCTTCTGCTTCCTGCGTTGGCACAGCTAAAGCAGCACGCTGCAAAAGCTGCACAAGGAAAACAAGGAGTAGAACAAACTTGTACACTAAAACTTGRCAGATGATCACGAATTTCTTCATAAAGCTGGATGAATTTAGAACTAGACTTCAAGTTACCTTCAGGACACGCAGCTCGAGTGTATACAGCTTGGCTATGGCCTCCCTCCAGCTAGTAAGAAATTACAGCTTTTAAAATTTTAGTGCTGCAGGATATCATCAGTTTCATGGGATCAACAGACTGATGCAGGCACCTCTGCTCAGCTCTGTACATCATGAAGTCCTGTTCTGATCTGGCACAGTACAGATGTCTAAYGTGCTTTTCACATACCAAATGCTCTGAGCCACTACACCACTTGCCATCACTCCCACTGAAAATCACATATCCTTGCAGTTTAGGAATGTCATTGTTCATAGCACAGAAGTATAGAGAAACTGAAAGATTCCTCTCCTGCTCCCATTAGGTACTTAATCCTGTTCTCAGCAGCACGACACAAAGCCTGATGGAAAAAACTAATTTATATTTTCCTTTCGCTGCTTTACAGAGTTCTGAACTGTGAGATGTGAGGTGTAATTGAAAAAGATTTTCATACAAAATTCAGAGCTACAGTTTTTCTTACATTTGTGTTATGCAAAATATTTTACAACTGCAACAGAAAAGGCTGGGTATCTTTTTGYCCAATATTTAAAGCAATTCATGCTATATAAAGCATTTTCTATTCTTTATATACTTATGGAAATAATTTCAGAATAAAGACAGGAAGTGAATATTCACAGGATCTGTACTTTCGATCTTTGTCATTAATGGATTGCCTGAAGATATTTAAAATTAATTCATGTCTCCCATATTGCATCCAACTTCCAACAGAAGAAAAAGGCTGCTTCTAAATAAAGCTGCAGAAATAATACCAAAGGAAATTACCTACAGCACGTAAGCATGAACATAAACACAGCAAAATCCCAGGAAGAGATGGCTTAAAGGAGTATGGTATTTTTATTCATCAGACCAYTTACAGATCACATACAAGGAAAGTATATGTCAGAAGTAAAGTAAGAAATCCAATGAGCTACAGAGCACAACCCCATGTGGTCTAGCATTAACAGCCCAAAACAAGGAATAGTTTATGGCTGATTGCCATTTTTTTATACCTTACATGCATCTTAAGTCTAAGTGTATACAAAGAAGCAAACTTTGATTTTCTGATCCTTAAACTTTGGGAAGAACTGCCAGATTTAAAAAACTGCAAATACCTAATATTGTTGACAGGGTGAAGAGATTTTCTCGGTTCTTAATACTAGATGCCATCACAAATTGAAAAGATTTTTGGTGATTAAGGTCTTGTCCCTGTGTTTGCGTGTGCCAAAGGCTACTTTGGCTGAAAGCTGCAGTTGGGAATATTTTCTCCTGGAAAACCTGCCTGGCAAACTCTCACATCAGCACTTGCAGCTTAACAGAGAAATACCCTGAATATCATGAGGATCGTTTCTGTACATACTTTGCAGTGCAAAATATACATTTTTCTATGCACCAGAATGTTTGTTGTCTCAAATTGCCATGAACCTGATGCTAACATTATGATGGGAAAAAAAAACTCAGACCAAACAACATCTGATTTTTAAAATGCAAAGCTTTCAAAAAAAAATTAAACAAAGGCAGATACTCCAAAATAGATATTARACTCTTTCATTAAACACAAAGGAGTTTTCTGTTTCATCTAGCTAATACTCTTCACATTCCTAATGACCAGATCTCTCTCCACATATTGCCTCCCTTAGCACGAAAATCAGCCTGCTTGCGTGGACCTACTCTGCCTGTGGGTTTTACTCAAAGCTCAGTCAGCCCAGGAATGTCTTGTAATTCCTAGATTACTAGCTACTTRATCACAGTATCTATTCTGAACACTCTTTCAATAGTGCAGATAATTTTTTCCTTGACATGCAAAAATTACTTCCAAAATGCTGAAGTTCATTGTGTAAAGCCAAAGAAAACATAACCTGTCTAGACAATAAAAATATCATTAAAAATGAAAGCAAAGGTTAATGACCATAATGGTACTTAATTTGAGTATAAATTAATAGCTTGTCCATTATGAACAAAMTACCCTGCMTTCTCCCTGGATCCTCCTTCTCCTTCTCCCTGGAGGAGAGAAGCAGTTAAAATCTCAAGTCATAACTCCTTATAAAGCACCCAGTGAWAATCACAAAACATGCAAATACATAAAGAAAACAAACAATGGAGCTCTCTCTCTGATTGACAAAGAACAGACACAAAGGCAACCTACATAATGGGAATAGTAGCATAAAATAGAAGCAGATAACCCTTGTTGGATGGATGCAGAAGCCAGGAAAAGATTCCAAGTGCTCCTACTGGAAGCAACTATTCWGTAAATGTTGTTAGAATTATAGAATGGTTTGGGCTGGAAGGGACCTTAAAGCTAGTTCCAAGACCCCTGACATGCAAAGGGCTTTCACTAGACCAGGTTATSTGAAGTCCCTTCCAGCCTGGCCTTGAACACTTCCATCCACATCTCTGGGTAGCCTGTTCCAGTGTCTCATTACCCTGACAGTAAAGAATTTCTTCCTTATACCTTCCTAAGTCAATGATCTCCCAGTTTGAAGCCATTATCCCTTGTCCTATCACTACATGTCCCTGTAAAAASCTCCTCTCCAGCTCTCTTGAAGGATCCCTTTAGGTACTGGAAGGCTGCTACAAAGTCTCCCTGGAGCCTTGTCTTCTCCAGGCTGAGCAACCCCAACTCCCTCAGCCTATGAGAGCTGCTTCAGCCCTCTGATCATCCTTATGGCCTTTCTCTGGACTCATTCCAACARGTCCATGTCCTATTCAGAGCTGAACAAAGTACTSAAGGTGCTGTCTAATGGGTCTTTCTTTAGAAATGGGGTTTACATTTCCCTTGTGTTCACTTTAACTTTGTGAGAGTTTAATTTTATCACACRTTTTTAAACTTCTTTTAAAAAACAAAACATTCACATTTGGCATTGCTGTGAGATCCAACCCTCACAATACATTAAATCAACTCAATGGAAAAAAACAGAGGAATATCAAAGCTGCTGCAAATGCCAAACTTCTGTCTGGAACGCACATTGGCACACAGTAAATATCAATATGTACCCCAGATATACAGATTTTGTGCACTCAGTCCAACATCAGACTTGKAGAATTTCTATGTGGAAAAAAAGATACCTGAATGCACAAACATCCTAATTTTGGTGGCTATGCCAACATCATAATCATTTTCCTTTTTTCACATCCACATACATGTGCAGCAGTTTTCTTCCAAATCATTATCTACCATAAAGCAATGGGCTTATTSTCAAAGTAATCACATCCTCAATAGAAAATGAAAGAAAAATCTTCTCTCCTCACTTAAATCAAATGCAAAACCCACACCAGCTTCATGGAAAGCTGAACTGGGCTCAGCACATGAACTGTGAGGCCCCAAATGTACTATGCTGTGCTTGCTGCTCCCTCAGGACCCAGTGCAGCCAAAATCRTATCTATGCAGTCACTCAGGATGATGTTCCAATCCTCAGCAACTGGCCTTTAAGTATTCTTGCCTTCCACTCATAAAAAATAACCTGAACCTTGAAAGCTTTTTTCAGCCTYACAAATTCCCCTACATGGTTCACAGCATGGCCCAGGGAACAGCTACTGCAGCACCACTGAAGCAACAGAATTTAAGGAACAAACACTCAGGCAGAAAACCCATCAAGCTACCATTTGGCCAGAACAGTTCCACATGCAATAAGCTAAGTATTTTGCCAAACCTACACCTTTCTCCTGTGTCCCTTAACCAGKAAAATTAAAATGCTTTTAGTTTGCTTTGTTCAAACAGAATTTGAATGCAKATGTTACAAGTAATTTTTATCTGGGGTAAAAAAAAAATCAATTTACTGTGAATTTGAGGAGAATCTCGATGCAAATTATATCTGTGGCACATCAAATAGTTCATTAGGAACAGTTAACTTGTTTACAGTAATTTTTGTGTGAAAACGAAAGGCTTTCTTATTTTAAAGCAAATAATTAACTTYAGTTTTTCAGAGACTCTTATCTGAAAAAACCACTCATACTACCAAAAAAAAATCCTGTTTACTAAACAGAAACAACTGTTGCAACAGAAAGAGAGGACAATCCTTACAGAACTAGTACATAAGTGCCACTGATAAAATAGGTTCTACTTACTTTAATAGCTGAGGGTTTTAGATTTTCAACCACAGATTAAGCCTGTCCTACTCCAAATCAGCTCTAGTCATCATGTGTGACACTACCAATGTTTAACTGGGTAATTTAGGCAGATGGAAGGATGCTCTGTATCTAAGCTTGGCATTACAGACTCTTCCCTACTACTCTTTCTTTTGAAACAAAAGACTTCATTTTCCCAGAGCTCACAGTGGCTTTCAGTTATCTGATCTTGCAATCTTGTCTGTGCTGCTCTCCTCTCCTACCCAATGCAAGGAAACGCTTCACAAATAAAAATGGACCTAAAATGAGGTTTATTTAATAAGCATTCAGCCAGACTCACTTCCAGAAGCTTACTGCAATCTGGTAACTTATTCAGGATCTGAGCCCTGCAGTCCAGCTATGACCACAGTAGCCATTAACAGGCAAGTGAAAAGTAAATTCATCCCAGCTCTTACCTGACCACGGTTGTGAAGACTTAAATCCAGACCACATGTAAATTCAGTATGATGCTCAACTGTTTCCAGCAAAGGATTAGGCTTGGAAAAGTCCCAGAATCTACAGAGAGAATAAAGGAGGGAGCGAGAAAAAGAAAAAAAAAAATCAAACAAACCACAATTAAAGTAATTGAAAGGCCATTTCAAAAATATAATACAAGATATTGACAAATCTGTGGCTGCCAGGGTATTTAAAAAAGCAAACTCATCCACTCAGGAAACATAACAAATCATATTCCTGCAAAGCCATCTGCTGATTTGCATAAAYTAAACCCCACTGGGCAAAGCCAACTTTTTCTCCTGTTGCAGAAACTGAGATGAAAGTTGGCACCAAGGAGCAGTTGTTGGGACATKATTAAAACAGAAGAAAAAAATGTAGGCTAGAATACTCTTGTTCTATTAACTGATGGCTGRGGAGTTTTATGCCTGAAAGATATTATCACCATTGATGATTTTTCTCAGTTTCTGMTATCATTAACTAGGGAGTCGTTATTTAAATAAAAATTACACATTCATTTAGAGATCTCAGTCATGCACATTCTCAAATTAGAGACTGCATTCCTGTAMAACAGAATTTAATATTATTATTTATTAACAAATTTGTACTACACAGATCAGCTGAATTACAGCTAATTCCACTAGTTCATATTTAAAAAAACAATTTTTCTTTTGAGCTTTGRTTGATAAATAGTACTTAGAAAATAAGAATTCTGAGGTGCTCTACTTCTCCCAGCTACTGTCCCATTAGAGGCAGTGTCCATCAATGCAATTAACAGCAACTATGAGAGATCTAAGAGTGGACAGGAYGAAAGTGTAAGACACCTCAGTCATGAAAAAAAGGATTCAAAAATAGAACTTTCAGATAACACACTGACAGACCCCCATACAATGGCACAAAACAAACATTTGTTCCTCTTTCTTGTGTTGTATATCCTGTTGAGAAAGTCCACAGGCCACAGAGCACAGCACATTTTGTGGACTGTAAACAAATTGAGGCTGTAAACAAATTTTCTACAGCCCAGGCTTTCACACAAGGGTCAATTACATGCTTTACTACTTCTGTAACAATCACAGAGGTCTCTTTGCTTTGCTCTTATKGGGAAAATTAACAATGCTTAACAAGAATAGCTCCTTATCAGACCAACTACACTGAAAGTTCAAACCAATTCAGGTAAAATAGCAAACAYTGGAGCCAGTAGGGTCAGTTTGTTTAATATGTAGATGTTATTTCCTCCATAAACAAGGWGAGCAGTATCAGCACAATGGCTATGCCATAGCAACAACCCTCTTAATTTTTTCCTAGTACCTGAGATCTAAGATAAACAACTTATTTTGCAGGAGAGAGGAGCAAAAGACCATCTCAGCATTTTATCCTCCCACGTTTGTTCAGAAGAAGGTAAGGACACAAATCTTGTTGTTTCTAAGTAATAATGTTAACCTTCCTTACCACATTAGCTCTCTACTRATTCTTGAAAGACAGATGCTCATAACTGAAAACTAAGATTAAAGGAGATAACTTCTGATCTACATGAACAAAAACTTTAAATAGACTTTCAGGTGTGTCACTCAGCTATTTTTATCCATACCATGTATGAAGTCACAATTTCAGTCACATTTGCACTGACCCCAGACAACCCAAAACCTATATGAGTGCATTTTCTTAAACTTTTTAACACGAGRCTTGTTGAAAGTATAACTTTTCCCTCATTTCTTTACAGTTTCTTGTTTGTTTTACATGTACTTGACATGCWATTCCTAAGCTGCACATGTGTTGTAAGTAGACTGCTTCTCCTAAACAAGACATTATGAGAAGAGAAAAAGCCTGTCATGCCATGSATTTTGTGCTTTGTACCACCCATAGCAATGTCACGAAGACCTGTGCTCCCCGACCAAAACATTTTACCAACCCAAATATAGTTTCTACGGCCTATCTCCTACCTTGTCTTCCCCTCCACTCTACCCTTACCCAATGCCCCTGTGCCTTCACCACTGGCTGGGAAAAAAGAGGCAGCAAGTATCATTTCAGGTTCCAGTGTCTGCACAATGCATGTGTTACAGCCTGTTGCTGCATGATGAGAAGCTRGCAGATCAGCAAGATTAGACAGGTGGTGAATTCATGTTACATCTCTTACCTTCCTTAAGGCAGTACTTGGAGTTTCCCTCTCTTGCATGCTCACGAGTTTCCAGTAAATTTGCAAAAGCTTAGTAAATTTAGACTTCAAGTTTCCTGTCAAATCTAGCTAAGTATTCAATAGGTTCAAAAATTACTTTAGGAAATAGTTCTATGTAAAAGGCACAGATGGAAGAACAGATAATGACTTCTCAAGTCTATGTCCTTCTGAGTAATAAAAATATTTATGGTAAATATTTATTCATGAAAGCCTTACTACTGTTTTTAGGTTACAAGATGTCTGCATTTTTAGGTGGGCATGAATCAGCTGTAAAGAGGGTGCTTTCCACAAATGCCCACTCAACGACTAATGCCAGCATTCCCACACAACCAGAACAGGCAGAAGTCACAGGAAACAATTTTTTTTTTGAGGTATAAAGTCAAGAATCTTGCAAGAGTAACACAGAACTCAGAGCTAGTTTACTACATAGGAGCATCCCCCTGCTCCTATTCTCTAATTCCCACACTGACTTGTAAAAATTCTTCCTGCAAACATGAAAAACTTCTGTCAGAGAAGAGCTTAGAGTYGAGCTACTTTTGGACACAGGCCAATCAGGGCAATGATGTTACTTCAGGCATTAAGTGGGAACATCTAACTATTTCCATACTAATATTCTGAAGAGATTATTTCAGTACAGCTCCAGTAAAGTATCAACATTATGAAACAATCTCAGTATAAAAGGACATTTTCCATTTGGGGAAAATAAGAAAAAAAAAGAGAGCAAATGAGCAAACACCCAGCTTTCCACCATGAAGGGAAAAAAGAGAAAAAGAATACAAGGATAACAAGGATGACTAACTGAAGTGAAAACAAGTTTATTTTATGATTAGCCTTGTTCTGCACAATTTCTTTGTGATCCAAGTTACTGAACTTGTACATAGTGATGGAGAGCTGGAGCTGGTGGTTTACCTCTCAGTGTGATGCAAAGAAGATATCCAGTATAGTATAACTTTTAACAAAAATTGCTTTTTTGCCTTAGGGACAAGCTTCTGTGAGTATGATTCAAGATCTGGCCTAATTCCAGCTTAATGAAGCTCTATAATTTATCAGCTCTTCTGTTTAGATTTTGGTAAGTACTGTCCATGACTAATGCATAAGATTTCTTTTTTATAGTGAAGAGTCCAAAAATACAAAATGGTGATTCCAGTAAAAGTTGACACTGATGTTCTTCCAAASTAAATTTTGACAGAGATAACGTTTAAGAATATGCATGCAGACCAAAGTAGTTCTGGAAATGTCACAGCACTTTGTGTATTTCCTGGCATTTAAATGATTCATTTGTGTTCAACCTGTACTTCAATTAGCCTGCATTTTTTCTGAGCTCTTCCAAAGAGTAAGGAAATGGTATAGAAAAAAATTGTCTTAATGAAGCATTAACTGGACAGGGATTAAATCCAAATCATTATACCAAGGTATGTAAAAACTCAAGTTCAAATCAATACGCTCTTTATCTCAGCTCCCAGCATGAAGGTGGCATGTGAACTAGGTTTGTTTTCAGTAGCCTGACTACAGTGCACAATTCAATCATTATACTAGTTGCAAAGGATGAAGCTAAACATTGTTAACTTTGTTTTCAACCCACTATTTTTTGCTTTTAGATAATCCAGTGCCAAATTAGCTGTAGTACCTGAAACAAAACTCCAAACTGTTACATGGCATTTTGGTAACCACAGCTAATATCTGCAGTTRTTTAGTTAACCTAAAGGCTTCAGTAACATTTAGGATTACAGAGCTCCCACAGTAAAGGCCTGCTCCAATGCTATGCTCCATTCTGTTACCTACTATAAACTAATGCTTGCAGATAATTCTGTGATTCAAACAGAACCACTGAAGAATAAAAATGAACAATATCATAACTAAACTGCTATTAAAATAACATTGGAATTAACACTGTTTTTGAAGGACTGCCACACCCTATTTCTCTATGAATTACTATCAAATGGGGCTAAAAGGTCACAGGCCTTGAGCAGATTCAACAAGATCCACAATTAATGCCATGTACTGGAATCCCAACTTCTCTTCCACCTTTTATATATTTATCAAGGATTTTTATCCTTAAATTGAAATGTATTACACCAGATAACTAGTGATGTACATGCATGTGCACACATGTCAGGATGTGTGCATGTATGTGCATGTGGARTGTATGGTGCATGCAGAAAAATGACAGTATAGGATATATGGTAGAAGTACCACATATTCTTTAAAAGACATGTTCCGAAATTCTTATGGTAACGATTTTCCTCCACTATATAGAACATTTTGCCTGTGACACCTTTTCCAAAGACCTTCACCTGGCCTTCTTTGCTGTTTGTTTCCTCATACCAAACCCAACAGTTTTAGAAAACAATTAAAAATCTTTATTTCATCTCTTCAACACTGCCATCTGTCCCTAGWCACAATTAAATATCTGGAAATACCTAGATTGAATTTTGTGAAGACATCCCCAAGCTTTGCATTTATAGACACAATGCTATGTGAACTGGTAGCTCTCTCCATGTTTGCTGACAGTTTTCACGTACAAAAATGTCAGAGCTGAAATCGCACTAGATTTCAGTACTGCATGAAACACATTACCAAACCTGAAGTACGTATAATCGGTGTAAAAAAGGGGAAGAGCATGACAACGTAATCAAGTCACTTCAATGTTTAATGGGTTAACTTCATGATGCAACTTTATATGATGTTATGGCRGAAGACTGGATAGATTTATGATTTAGCAACATGTACACTCATCAAGAATTAGCAAGATTTCCCTTTGGAAACAAACTCTCTTGGTCTGGTGTCAGACCAATTAGGACACAACCAKAAGTGACATTACTTGAGATGATCTGGACAAGTGGGATAACTTTGCAGTCATTTATRGAGGCAAGAGGGCTTCTCCCATTTCTTAATGTACTGCCTACTATATTGTCTATGTTAGAAAATTAAAATGTAGATAAAAGKATTGAGATATTCAGAAATACTTCACAGTATTGTCCTATGACACTGTGCATCTTAGAGAAATCCCAGTATSAAAACAAACTTCTTTAGGACTTTTAATTAGCTTTAAAACAACTGTACTATAAGATCCTCAGCAGTATCAGATATAGTGAGCAGCCAGGGGAACTTGCAGAATACTGTCTAAAGAGCTTCAGCATACACACTGTGGAACACTACTTAAGCTTCCTCAGAAACTGGCTGGGAAAGAACTTTGTTCATAAAAAGCCTAAATAAAAATATGTCACAGAAACATACGAATTCACCTAACTATTAATTGAAGAGGGTATTACCTTCTTATCAGACATTATCACAGATGGACACAACTATATTCAGTAGAGTGATGTGAAAAAAAATTGCAGAAAGCATCTGACAGAGCAGATATTGCTCAGCAGAGTGACTGAGCTGGCCTTTAAGCAACAAACCCATGTGTTTTCAACATACCTTATGAAGCATCTCACAGTAACATGAACTGGACTTCAGTGTGTCCACTCTGGATCTGTTTTCTATTGCAAGCCACATTAAAACAGATAACCTTTCTATTTTTATCCAATTAGAGAAAATACTGTACCTTACAGTAAAATCATAGGAGCAGGAGGCCAACAGGGTTGCATGGAATGGTGAAAACTGCAAGAAAACAAAACAACTTTTAAAGTTAAAGCATTGTGAACATATACAGACTTACTCAAAGTAGAAAGTTATCAAAGAACTATTCAAATGGTCTTGGTTGGTACCACATCATGCTGCAACAAAACAGACTACATCAATGTATTTCTCCCCCAAGCTTCTAATTACAAGGAATCATAAAATTAATAGTCACAAGGAATGCTCTATGGAATCCTGGTTTGCTTAGATTACATTACAGCAGTGCCAAATAACTCTGCTGTAAAGTTAAGAAGTTCTGGAACAGTCATATAAACAGTCATTAAATTCTGTTTTTGGCTAACAGGCTGAGTTTCATCTCATTATATAAATCAAGTTTCAAAACAGCTATGTGACCAGTTAATTATGTTCAGGAGACAAAATCTGTGCCATACTGCAKAGAACATAAGATATATTACTGTCATTAATTCTATATCCTACCATTTTGAAATTATTTATACAAATGGGAAAATTGGAGATAAATGGAAAAACTGAAAGCAATATAACATCACTTCATGATTCCCCCCTCTCCTATGGGGCATTTTACAGGATACACCCTTCCATGTACCGTTGCAGRCTGGTCTAAGAACTGCAGCAACAAGGATACAGACACACAAAAATTGTTCATCTCAGCTCTGGTGTTCTGGCAACCCTCAGTTTCCAGMTATTTTAAGATCTGTATTTCTCAGCAAGAAATACAACATGCCACTGACATAACTTGAGTTTTTTGAAAAAGTCCCCCACACTGTGGTTCATAGGTAAGTCTTCCTTCAAGACTTCTAATATTAACCATAGCAATTACAAAGTCAAAAGTTTRGACTAGGCTATTGCCACAACTGCCCAGGTTGCCAAGAGAGTAGTGTATGTTGATGGCTGCTGAATGCTGCTGACAGAGCTCTTTTTACTATAACAGAATTCAGGGATGTGCATGCTGGAACTTGAAATTCTGCAGATTTCCTACAGTTTTTTTTTGAGGGGAAAAAAATCCAAACCAAAACAGGTTCTATACCTCACGAAAATGAATACTAGAGGGAAAGAAGTCTGATAGGGAACAAAAAAAATGGTACACTTTCCATAAGCCCCCTTTGCCTGCCCACATAGTTTAAGATGAAGCAAAACCATCCTATCAAAGCATTGACATTAACCTTAAGTATCCTAGAAACTTACCTAAGCAAACTGTATCAAAATATTTAGCTACACATGTGACCTGAAAGAATTTGCRAAATGTCTTTCTCCTACAAGAGAAAATTCTGTTCCATTTAACTGCAAGATTAATGTAATTAACAATTTTATCATCTGAACAGCTGCATAGAGGCAGAAGATACCACCATATCATCCATCCCGACCTCCAACAGACCATTTATCCAAATATCTTTTTAGATAAACCATAATTATGTTTCAGTGTAGCCAGCTAAGAATGTGAGCTAGTRTTGGCACAATGCAGGGGAAGGGGTAGCAGAAAGGGCAGCTGCCTCTCTTGAGGCAGCATCCAGGTCTCTCTCTCAATCCAGTGTGACTGTTGAGTTACACCAAAGAAATGTAGATGTGCTGCACCATCTCCAAGTGCTGGCCCACACTGTCATATTTTCTGTACTCAGAGGCCACATCTGTCTTGAAATGGAAGCAATGAAAGCTTGGTAAGATGGAATAGAAGTCGTGTACTCTCACATATGTCTCCTTTGCACATGGATGCAACTTCTGCTATGAAAAATATTTCACAGAGCCAGATTAGAGAATRGTCATGCAGGCATTAAATTAGAAAAAAAGATTCTGCATCAACCACCAGTGGGGAGAGCTGGCAGTGGTAGCCAGGACAAGGAGGAGTAGGAGCTTCTCAGGTTGTCTGACCACAAACAGAATTTGTGATACAGACAAATCACAAACTAAATATAATTACTTCTAAATAGGTTAGAAACACACCAAGGCCATATGAGGCAAAATACTGACTCTGGACCACTTYTTTTTCTACCAGTTCAAGCTTCCTAGAAAATATTAATAAACATATCTGTTCCTGAAAGCCTTTAGAAAGATCAAGTATTATCTCCTTTTTCAGGAGACTTTGATATTGGGGCATTTGTCTCTCACATTCTTTGCTGGCTTCAGTATCTTACACTGAAACATGGTTATGGTTTTTGAATTTACCTAAAAAGATATTTGGATAYATATTTTCATGTATCATGAAAAAAAAATGTCATTGTACATCTAGAACCAATTCTTATTGGTGGGTGTTCTAGTAGTACACAGATCCAGTATAGTCATCTGCAACCTTCCACACATAAAGTTTCAAAATTTCTTTGAACATATTAATGTTTTCTTTGTACACACAAATATATGTGACCACAGTGAGTTCTATACTTTGTCTTTTGGAAATTTTYACACTTTGTGCAGAAAGACAAGGGCACAGCATCATTTAAAAATGGGTACAGGGAAATGCTTTCTCTATCTCAAATTTCCCATATAACTTAGYTGAAGTGAACCTTCAAACCCTCTCTCAAGCTCTCTAACACTCTGTATAGATATACTGACTTGGAAAATGTAATTTACTKTAAAATCCCAGCTTTAAATTTTAAAATATTTTACAGTGCTAAACTGAAGGCTTTCAGAAACAGCACTGTTACACCTAAAATCCTGGTTTTTCCTAGTTATTAGATAATATATTACTGCTTTTGAGAAAAACTTGTATAACAATTCAGTGATGGTCAATGGGAAATAAAATACAACTTACTTTTACTCTTCTGATAGCGTAGGTATGACCAAGCAAGACGAACACTGGTTGTCGGATGTTCCTCAAATCCCAGCCTTTCAAGCTACAGTCAACTGCACCAGTTACCAGCAAGTTCTGATGATTTGATAAAACACAGATGTATCATGACAATTTAATTACTAAATTGTAGCAATGCATATRTTGGATACAAAAGTTAGATAAATGAAAAAATACAGACTAATAAATCATAAATGAATTGACATCCTTAGTGTGTAACTAAAAAGCACAGAGGAACACAAACTGGTTTTCTACTATTGACTACTCTGCCCCCTACACAAAACAGTAAGAAAAATCTCTGATCTGCTTGGGCTGACCATCTGTTAGAACAAAGCTCTTCTGGAGATGTAACAGTGAGTGAGAGTAACAAAGCAACTAGACATGTTTTTACAAGCAGAAGATACAATAATGTAGCAATAAAACCCCCTGCTATTTAATGAGTGGTTCAATTAGGAGAACAGGGGGATGAACAGCTGTATACCTCGTCATATTTGCACCAGTCACAGCTCAAGACCTCAGCCTGGTGGGCTGGTATCACAAGTTTGACTCCCGGGGTTTTCACATCCCAAATTCTTAAAGTCTGATCCCCTGAAACAAAGAGAAATTGATTCAATTTTGTTGCATCAGTTACTGGATTCAGTTAATCCATTATCAGACGTGTTTTGGAGCTGTGTGAAATACAAATGATTGCATGAGGACACTCATGCCAAACAAAGCACGTACATTATAGACACATTATAGAAGTTGGATTGATGCAAGAAAAGGTACCTGCCCTTACTACTGCTCTTTCATTAGGAAAAACCCCCACAACTTTATTTTATTACTAGCATTTCCACTGGTTTTTAAACTCAGATTTGATTAAAAGGAGGTCATGCAAAAGACTTAAATAACATTTAATTAAACTAGGAGCTTAAGTTTCATTTAAAAATGAACTTAGGAGATCAGAATAATGAAAAAGCTTTCTTTTCAATCCATCTGAGAGGTACCACCTAGTCACACGCTTTTGGCACAAAGAAAAGTGAACAGTATTTGATACACAACTTATTTCAAAATTGCTTAAATTAAAGAAAAATTTAAAACGTATGACCTGTAGTTTTCACTCTCATTTATTGAAATATTGGATGATGAAGTCATTCTACTGTAACTGTTACAGATATGAAAGACGTGTGCCTTAGCCTTGGAGTGCGTGTGCACACACAAACACACACACACATACACACACACACACAGCAATGAAGGAAGTCCAGCTTAATTTAAGAGCTGCTAATCACCTGTGCCTCTTTCTTTACCTCCAGACATAAATTTTCTTCTACTCATAAAGATCTTTACACACACACACACACACAGCAATGAAGGAAGTCCAGCTTAATTTAAGAGCTGCTAATCACCTGTGCCTCTTTCTTTACCTCCAGACATAAATTTTCTTCTACTCATAAAGATCTTTAGCACTTGTGCACACCCTTCCTAAAATTTCAGTTCCTAATAGCTTGTAAGGCATAGCTGCATCAGCTGATAGGACAACTATGCTTTTCAGTTATTAAAATTGTGATTTTCTCCTTAGCCCTGAATATTTAGCTTTCTATCAGCAAAAATTGATTCTGTAGCTCATTTGCTTACAGAGAGAGAAAACTAATTAGAATTGATGATTATGCCTATACTAATTCAAAAGAAAAATTTAATTACTAAAAAGTGATTAAAACATGATTTCTACATGAAGCATGTAACAATACTACCTAAATTTTAAAGCTCTTGTTTTACCTTGCTACTGAAGAAATTACTGATATTCCCTCAAAATTATTTTTTCATGCCATTTATATACAAGCATTTTGATGGTTTTAGTGCCCTGTTGGTCACCAGTCATAAAATACACAGCTTGGCACAAAAAAATAATAGTTCTTTTCAAGAAACTGGCTACAGATCAAATAAAACCATCCCTAGAGCCACAGCAATATT